TTCCTCACCATTTATGAAACACAGCTTGAAAGGATCAAGATACTACTGGGTAAGATTTTTAAAATAACTGCTTTATTTAATTCGGAGGTGTACAATTCTGGGCTTCACCTTTTAGAAAGTATGTGGAGATGCTGGACAGAATTCAGAAGCAAGCAACAAAAATTAACTATTAAAGGTAAAGTGGAAAAATTCCTTTAGGAATTGCACAGCTTCTAAAGGGACAGTCCATTTTGTGGATCTATACTACTACTATTTCCTTTTTTATAGAAATAATTTTATAGTCTAATTTGTATGTATTTGTATTTGTCCTGTGTAGTGGTATGTTTTTATAGGTGACTGCTACACGTGGACTTAGGATACTGATAACTGCTGCTTTTAAGATATACATTGAATTTCAGACTTCCCTTCCATTTTACTTTAGACCTCAAATGTACTTTCAGTTATTTGGCACTGAAATGTGGCTGAAGTTCAAGTTTGTAACTGTAGAAGAAACTCAAGAAAAGTAGTTGGCTGATCTGGTTTTAAAAGGTGGGGGTGGGATTGACTGTTTATACCACAGAGACAAGATTCAAACAATCTTTTCCTTTGACTCTGCGTACTGTTATGATATTTATGGCTGTTTTGGAAGGAAAAAAGGTAGACTTATAAATCAGGACAATATACTGCATAAATAAAAATGAAACAGCAATAGAATGCCTTCCAATTTTAAACTATACTTGCAAAAAGATAGGGATTTTTACTTCTAGTGGCTCCTGTTACTTTGAGAAAGTGCAGCAGGTTGCCCTACTTTATATGCAGGCAGCTGAACAAAAGCCAGCTGTAACAAGCTTACTGTGTGGGGCAGATTCCTAGGCAGCCTGAGAGTAAAGGCTGCTTCAGCTTGACCCAACTGCTTGCAGGGAGGGGCAGGCTGACCATTAGGCACAAGGGGAAACCCCTGTGCTTGGTTAGGGAGTCATCTATGGCCAGAAGGGGCAGTGTTCCAGGGCACTGAGCCCAGCACCTGAAGGGAATGGATCTCTTGAAAGAGAGAGGTTGCAGGAGATAGCTTTGGTGGGCACCAAAGTCATCCAGGAAAGCTAAGAGGTGAGAGTTTGAAGGGAAGTATGGCTTGTATGACCCTGAGTGAAGGTGACTTTTAGTTTGGAAGCAGGTTCTTATGTTTATGTTGCAGTTAAATTAGATACTGGAGGACAAGGTTGTGGTTAGAGTATGGAGGCCACAGGGACACCAGAGACACCCTGCATACAGCCCTGTAGGGACGCAGGAGGCCGAGCGATATACAAGCTCCCCCAGGGGGCTGAAGCGCCAGAAAAGGTTGAAACCAGGTACAGGGGCCCAGAAACCAAGGTTCATGGAAATGGCCCTAGGCTGAGAGGGCACAGGCAGAGATAATGGGATGAAGCCCCAACACAGGTTTGAGACCTGAGGGGGCCAAGTGTTGTGGCAGGGCTATGGGCCCCTCCAAAATGATCAAATACCACCTGCAAGGCATGGGCATGGCTATAGAGAGGTTGGAGGCCACACGAGAGGGTCTGAGGCTCACTTTGGGACTCGGACAGCGGCCCAAAGTATTAGTAGTAGTATGGTAGGCAAGGTTAAATGGTAGAATACTCCAAGGAGCTGTGATAGGCGTGCAAACATTATTCACACAAATCAACTCAGGGATTTCACATAGGGAACCTACAGTGTTAAAAACATTCTGACCTGCTGCGGTCTGAGTTCTCTGCAACAGAAGAATTGCTCTAGTATTTTTCTGTAATCAAAAAACAAGTGAAAACTAAGAGCTGAAATTTTCTGAGGAGAGCCTTAAGCATAAGAAGGTTGAGAACCACTGCACTACACAGGCTTGAAAAATAGAAGAACACACCTGAAGGCCAGATGGTAGAGTATACATTGGCCAGCCCAAGACATTATACTGTTTGTACAATTTTTAAAAGGACAGGAGACAAAGTCTTACACATCATTAAGTTCAGCTACTCTTCCCAGAAACTCTTCATACGTCAGGAAACCACTTTCACGAACCAGAGCTGCATGTTTTGCTACTTTTTCTGGTATCTTGTTAATAACAGTTTGTGTCTGATTTGAGAAGTGCTGACCCATGATGAAATTCCTCAGCTCAGTGTCCAGGAAGAAAGGGGATCGTATTCATTTGTGCAGTTTCTCCTAAATACATTAAAGAAAAGACGACACAATATAAGATAGCAAGTCTCCACAGTGATTTCTCCCAGCTTTCCTTAAGTACAGCAGACTACCTAATTTCTTAGTAGTTTAGAAAAGCACTTATTATTTATTATAGTGTTGTCTTCAGGTAATAGTTAAAATCTGCAATAGCATAATACAGAAACAAAGCACAGCGCTTATGGGAGGGTCAGTTTCAAACTAACAACTTTTAAGGTGTATTTTCTTGCTGGTAAGTTAACATATATTTACTATTCTATACAAGCATCCCACTATGTGTCAACAAAGTGGTAAGCAGCCTTAAACCAAGCCAAGTGTTGAGAACCACTCAGACTGAAACAAAGGAGGTCACGAGGACAGACTATCACAGGTTCTCTCTACATTCCCCCATCACCCTTAGTAGTGCAAGGTCCTGATTTCCAGCTTCTGATCCTAATAAAAACAAACCTTCCTCTGTTTTGGTGTGGGGTTTTATTCTATTTGATTTCAAGTTATGTAGAAGTCCTCATTTCCCCCTCACCTCCTCCAAAACAAAATAGTAAAAAGGGAACCCTATCAAATCTACAGGGTTTGGGGCTATATTCCTACAATCAGAGTCAGTAGTGCAAATTTATGTGGCTTTAAAGAGGCTCTACAGACAAAGAAGTCCATGGTAACAGATCAAGTTGCAAGGTGGACACTAAGTCGCATGCAGTTTGGGAGTAGGCACATTATATAAGCTACAACACAGGATAAGGCCTTGATCCTGCAAGTATTTGAATATGCATCAACATCTTTGAGCACTACACCTAGATGTAGACATAGATATCTTCAGTTTTATATGAATTCTGACAGACAACATGCAGACCAAACGCATGAAAAGCACACTTGCACCCCAATGCTTTAACAAACACCCAAGCCTCATGTTGCATATGTCAAGAACGCCTTCTTTAATTTAAACTTGTCAGAACTGGGGCAGTTTCTATTCTCACATACACAGGAGCTCCCAATGAAGTGCCTTGCCTCCTTCCAACTTAGGCACCTGAGCCTGGACTTCCCACTCTGGCTGGTAAATGTTGTTCAAATAATCGCTGTCATCATTGTTATTACTTTTTAATTTTATAAATATATGGGTATTGATGGCCTTGATAACAATGATGACAGTAATATAAACAACAATACTGATATAAGCATTATTAGTTATTTATACAGCGACACCATTGGCAACAGGAATCATCCCACAGCCTTTCCCTACCACAACCTGCACTCCTTTCATCTCCCCGTCCCAGCATTTCCTTGCTGACTCGTGCCTTCAGCTCGACACCCTAAGCTTCCTGGGGCAGCCAAACCCCGGTGTCATGGGGGTTTCTGGCAGAAACACCGCCCAACGCTCATGGGTGCAACGTTGGCAAGGAACCCCGCCCCCCCCCGCTGGGGGCTCTTGAGGCACCTCCGGAAGCAGGAGCGCTGGAGCCACCTCGAAAACTAGCTGAAGGAAACTCTTTCAAGCCCCACGTCCGGGACACGGCGCTGCAGCAGCCGACAGTGACGCCAGACTCCATAAAAGGGCAGGGGCCAGTCCCTGGGGGAAGGGGGTGCGGGAGTCAGGGGCACGGCCACTGGGGGAAAGCCCTGCTGGGACCGAGGCCCCTCTCTCTGCCCTGGGGTGCAGGAGACGGGGCAGGACGGAACCCATGGGCTAGTGCTGGGATGAGGCAGGAGGTGAGCACCCCTAGGAGGGGCCTCGAAGGCAGGTCGCACGGGCCTTCCACCACCCCCATCCTTGCACAATGGGTCCGTCCACCCTCCCGCTTGCAAGCGACGTCCGCTAGAACCCCGCGCGCAGCTACGTCACCCCCTGCAGCGAGCCGCGCCGAGCACCAGGCCCCTCCCCCGGAGCCGCGCCCC